TCAAATGAAAAGGTACGAAACGACATAAAAATGAAACAGTTAAATATTTGCATATTCCGCCAAGGGAGAATGTAGCGAGACATCTCGGGATGCCATTGGAGACTCTGACTGGGATCGGATCATACGCGGGTGCCGCATGCGCAGGAGAGAGCAAAGGCTGTTATAAAAAGAGGCGTCCAAATGATGCGAGCACAGAATTACTCGAGCACAGAAAAAGCATTAACTCCGATGTGTACTGTGAGACACTCCGACGCCTACGCAGGTCCATCAAGAACAAAAGACGGGGGCTGCTCACGGAGGGTGTGGTTCTGCTCCATGATAATGCGCGTCCACACGTCTCCAGAGTCACACAAATTGAACTGGACAAGTTCCAATGGGAGACGTTGGACCATCCGTCCTACAGTCCGGACATGTCACCCTGCGATTTCCATGTGTTTGTTCCACTGAAGAAACACCTGAAAGGAAAGCGCTTCAACTCGGACGACGTACTCAAGGACACTGTGAAGGACTGGGTCTCGTCACAGCCACAGAATTCTGGGAACAAGGAATCCTGCGGCTTGTTCATCAGTGGGATCGTTGTGCTCAGGCCTATGGTGTATATTTTGAATAAAGTCTATATTTGTACCCACCGTGTCGTTTCGTACCTTTTCATTTGATCACCCCTTGTATATATGTCACTAAAGATGGCATAAAATGGATACCATATAATAGTAATGTTCCTTGTAGATTTGTGACTCCAAAGGTTTTGCGACAAAGAGGTAGTCCAACATGTTTCGCAAAACGTCAAGTTTTTTTATGATATAAAAGGTAATAATATATAATAATTACAAATAAAATAATATTAAACAGTTTTTAAAAAAGACTGTGTGCTTATGGCCACGCAATATAAATGAAAACTTCAAATTTTGAAATGTTATTTCAGGCATTAGTTCGGTGAATAAAAAACAAGAGAATGTTATTACTGTCATATTAAATTATTTATTCATATGTCTGTACGCATAAAGTAATATTTTTTTGCAAAATATATAATCATATTTGTGAAATAATTGTATTTCTAAAAGGAAACAATAGTTTTATTAAGATGAAATAGGTTGTAAGTACTTTATATACAAATTAATAATTATTTAAATATCTAAAAAAAACTCCGTAAAGAGTTTTCCATACTTCGTCATGCTTTCACTTCAATCATTTGACATAATTAAACTGAATTTTGATTTCAACAAAAGTAACTAATATTTTTGTCTTATCTTTCAAAAAAAAATCTACATTGACATCATCACTTAAAATCATAGGTAATTTGTTCAGAAGAAGCCATCCGGCTTCAACGTAGGCAACTAATTTTTTTTTAATGAACTCGATAAGTTTCTCTACACTTTGATTTAGTGAAATAAGAATAGCAACCGTTATAATAATTTTTTTTCTGCTCTACATTTTGCCGCATAAATGTCTCCGATACACGACTGATTAAACCCAAATGATTCTGTAGTATTTGAGGCTACATTTATTCCCTATATCCTATAATAAAATGAATTCTAAGGAAGTTCATGCACATTGAACAAAATACGAATCGATGATTGAATATTTAAATATATAAAACATGAAAATATAAAAAAAAAACATTAATTTTATTGGCCTTAAATTTCTTCATTTTTCGATTGTCTTTCGCCGTTAAAATGTTTTTATTAATTATTTAAGAATATATTTCCGAATGTCATGAATTTTTTTTTAGTAACTGTGAAAATTCAGGTGTGTTACAGTTTACAGAAGATGAATGAAACGAATGCAACGCATTCCACAATTCATGTAATTCCAGATATACTTTTGTTATTTTTGTAGAGCAAGATAATTGGCAATCAACTTTAAGATATTTGACTCGAATATTTTCGATATTAACAAATTAAAGATAAAATGCTGTGTTAAAATGATTTTCATAACAATATCTGCGGGAATTTTGAAACCTCCTCTATCCAAAATTCTCAAATACGTTGTCCTTTTGACATTTTCTGAATCGAAATTGATTTTTTTATCTACATCAAATATATATTTTTAATCGGATCATTCGAATTCTATATTAATCACGCAATAACACGCTATGTACATTAAAACTTTATACTCTTCTATTAAAATATCTCATTGATTTATTTTTAAATTCCCTAAGCATTCATTGTCTTTTTCGAAGTTTATATCAACTGTTCATCTTTTGGGAAACATAATACTAACTATATAAGCGCATAGTTGGGAAGGCTGAGTTTTACTCAAAACCCGGGGAAAACACTCAATCTTTGGTCACGTGATTTCTTTTTAGGGATGTGTATGTCAGGGACTATTGAATCTTGACCGACGTTGTCCAAACATGATTTCCGAGGAAATACGAAAAAAGCCGAATGAACATTACGTTCCCGAACGTGACGCATCATTCAAATTCCCTCTTCCGCAAAACATGCCTAAGGAAGTGATCACTTCAAAAAAACTAAACTTTACTGAACAGTAGTTCTGCAATTTTTTAGTTATTACAAATATATTGTTATTTTATATCGCGGTGGGGCAAAACGGTGGACGTTAGGGAAATTGAAATACCGAAAGTTTCAGTGTTAAAACACAATGATGGAGTATTAACATAAAACCGTGTCTTATAAAACTGTGATAAATATAGCAAGTTATATGGATATGTTTTAAGTTAAAAAAACAGTTAGGCAATTTCTTTCTAATGTTTTATTTTTTCTTTAAAAATATATATTTAAAAATACACTTAATTTTCTACAAAACTATTTCTAGTCATTCCCTTGTACATAATTAATGTAGTGTTATGCAGATTCTTAATTTTAATATATATAACTTCCTTTACATCACCTCAACAACCTTTAAGAGAAAAGTGTTTTTCCACTTGAAATACTTATGTCTTCTCTTACTTATCCTAGAAAATCTTTTTTTAAATGTCAGTTATATGTTCTGCATCAAGATTGATTCCTTCCCTTTCTATTTATTTAAATGTCTGGAATAAGTCTAGACAAAAAAAATCCTTATATTTATAATTTATAAGCAAATGCGTTTTTAGAAGAATGATTTATGTTTCTGTATTTTTTATTCAAAGAAAAAAAAATCACAAAATAAGAAAATATTATATATTATTACATTCAAACTGGACTTTCTCAACACAACTCTTTTATATTGAGATATTCAACTTTTCTTCATCACATTATTATTAAAATTAAATTATAGCAAGTTTCTTGAAGTATTTCTTTCGCATTAGATTTTTCAAAAGGAAGTGCGAAATAAAGTTTCATATAATATTTTTTAAAAATTAAAAATTTTGAAGCTTAAAGAGTTTGAGGAGAAAATATATGCTTCTTTGGATATTTCTTTCCGGTTAACAAATCCCTTTTGATATTGGAACTGGCATTATAACGTAGTCATCTTATAGCAAGGGCGATAAGAACTTTTCCCTTATTTTGTGAAAATATAGATTTTAAGCCTTCTAAGTATTTATATATTTAAAAAACTATGCTTTATATATATATATAAACATTGTCCTGCACCCTATCAAGTTAACATGTACATGTTTAAACCGTTACATGGGAAATTTTTTTGTAAATTGCCTTTTTTATTCTATAATATGTATAAAAGGAATTCCGGCATCAATTTAAACGAAATCTCATAAAAATTATTATTTCTAACTTAAAGATAAAGTTTAATGTCTTATTCGGTGGACAATATTTGGATGGACTATTTTTATTAATAATAAAGTAGAAAAAATATGTCAATTCATACTTAGGTCAACAAAGAAAAGTTAGTTACATTTTATTAAATAGTTTGAATTTTTGACCCATGGGATTCGAATCCATGATCTTTCGATTAGAAACTCAACGCGCTATCAATTGCGCTACAGGAACACAATAAACGGTTTTCCTTTCTATGTAAGCTGTTGGACTCTTATTTTTGTTTGTTACTATTTATTGATTTTTTAATGAAGTTAAAGAATGTTTAAAAAATGTATTTGATCCTTAATGGATGAATAGAAAGCAGTTTATTGACGATTGTAAATTTGAACAAGATGTATATAAATATATATATATATGTGTGTGTGTGTGTGTATACAGTGATATACCTCGACATACGAGTTTAATTCGTTCCGCAACCTTGCTCGTATCTTGAATTACTCGTATTTCGAAGCAAATTTCCCCATACAAAGCAATTGAACTACCATTAATCCGTTCCATCCCCCAAAATGTCACCCCAGTTATTTTTGTTACGTGGTTTTGAATAATAAAAACGTATTTATAAAGGACAAATATTTATTGTACAAAAACAAAAAAGAGAATGTAAAGAAATAAATTAGATATCCTCACTGCTCTTTGCCTTTTTCGAACATTTTTCTCGCTTTCACCTGTAGGCCGTTTAGAAAAAAAACATGTCCAAGGAGGTTTGTTTCTTCCTCCCTCTCAGAATGTTCCGGAAAGGAGTTAGGCAAGTGTCATTAAAAAGATCAGAAGCACGACCTGTTGCAATATTTTTTCTGGGTGTTTCTTTTCCACGAACTGTGAAACTGTCTCCCACATTCCTAAAATCTCCTTTATCTCACTTGTAGAAATAAGCTCCTCGTCTGGCTCCTCGAAACCAACAACTCGAACACCTTACTCATGTTTTTCTATAATTTCACGTTTTAATTCAATACTCATCATCTTTTTCTTAGCACTTGACTTTTCACAAACTTTCTTCCGATCCATGGTTATAAAAATAAATGAACTACAACTGTAAATGTAAATGTAAACGCAACACAAAACGCGAACACAACTACACAACTTATCACAGCGGAAGCACGCTGCTAACTGATTCACTGACCGTGATGGGCGCGATCGCGTTGTGCGCGGTCGTGTGCTACTACCGGTTGACCTGTTAAACCGAACTCGTATCTCGAATTTCCCTCGTAACTCAAAGCAAAAATCACTCGCTCGCCGGCTCGTATCTCGAAAAACTCGTATGTTGGGGCACTCGTATGTCGAGGTACCACTGTATATTATATATATATATTATTTATATATGTATATTATATATATATTATATATAAATGCATATTATATATATATATACATATATATATATATATGTATCCAATTGATTTGTGAATTTTGAGTTCAGTTATTTGCTTTGAGATATTTTGTGTTGAGATATATTGTTTTAGGGAAAGGTTATAAAATGAATCACAGATTCGGTGGTTCAAATTACATGGTAGGTAATACTGTTGGTAATAGGGTGAACTCCTACAAGACTAGAACTTTCTGGAATTCAGATTTCATAGGGCATAAATATTTTTCAAATTATAAATATGAGAACAACATCTCTAAGATTAAACATAATCACAATTATATTCCTTCTCCTTTAAACCTACATGAACAAATTAACTTCCACAATTATTATTATAACTATGATACTATACAAGATCAATACATAAATTATTTTCGTTTTAATAAGTGCAATAATAGTAGATGTAAAACTTGTCCAATGTTAAACATGGAACAATATGATAATACTTCTAATTTTTTCTTATGTAAGACCTTCAATTGCATCTATATGTTAAATTGTAAAATTTGTAATTTTAAATATATTGGCCAAACTGGCAATAATATCAATATTCGTTTAAACATGCATAGATCAAATACCAAAAATTACAAATAGAATAACAATGATAATTCTAAAATTGAAATCAAGCACTTTCATCTACATGGCTTTGAAAATGTTGAAATTTCTATTCTTAGAATAGTCCCACAAGCTAAAAATAGACTGTGGTGGGAGAACCACTTCATTAAATATTTTAACACTATATATCCTTATGGTCTGAATACCATACACTTTGGTAAAAATGTGTTACTGAGCATTCAACAACATAATAACAAGGAATATTTTTATAATAGTGATAATGTAATAAAAGTTAAACGAATAAAAAGAGGCAAAAGGAAGAAAAGAAATAGTAAACTACCAGTTGAGATTGCTCCTAAAATTAATGATTTATGTATTAACTTTGAAAAGTCTTTTAACATTAAACATATTAATATTTCCTGTTTGGTTTGAACAAAAAAGAAATCAAGTATACTAAAGTTATCCTTGATAAGCATAATTTTCAAGATTGCCATGCCTTACATATTATTAAAGATATTATTAATTTTCTCATTCATAAATTCAATATAAAAGATAAAGATTTGGTAAATAGTACTACTGATATTGTACAATTTTATTCATGAATAAATCCTATAATAACATTAATTTTTCAAAAACATTTAATAAATATGTGCATTGCTTACCTATCAATAATGTTTGCATTAAAAAGGCTTTTAAATATAATAAAAAAATTGGTAGCTCAATTTTTAACTACAATAAGATTAATGATTTGCAAAATAATACCTTTCTTTGTAATTGTAAGGATTATCCTGAATTTATAAACGAGCATCACAAACATGTTGTAACTGGCAATTTAAATATTGTTGAAGATAATACTCTTAGGGAAATTATGTCAAAAGGTACTAGTTATAGATTAATGATCTCCAATAATAATAATGCCATAAAAAAACAAATCTCTAAAGATATTTGTAACTTCATTACTAAACTAGCAATTAAATACACTTTTCCTATTGAAGCTTTTTAATGAATTTAAATGCAATGTTTTAAAAGAGTTACTGAAAAATAACTATAAAACTGATTGTGGATTAATTTACAAAAATCTTAAGCATCATTTTGTAGAACTACAAAAGAATTTCATTATTGTTTATGTTGATAAAGTTCCGGTAATTATGCAATTATTTGCAAATGGTTGTATGCTGATATGCTTAATAGACATTTTCATAATAATAATGCTTTTAAAAAATCTAATTCTAGCAATAGAGAAATTTTTAATCGAATTTCTGCTTTTTATAAAAAATTAGATTTACGCATTTCGGATATTAAATTCCCTCATATTTTCTAAACTCCAAAATTTCATAAAAATCCTATTAAATTTAGGACTATAACAAACGGCTTTAAAACTTATATTACACTTCCGAGTAGAAAGCTACAAAAGGTTATTCAATCCACATTAGACAGTATTGATAATTCGATTATAGTTAAGAATAGCTTGGATATCATTAAGTACATGCAAGATAAAAAAAATTACTTCTATTCACACCTATGACTTTGAAGATTTATTTATCCATAGATATTGGGGATATGGTTAAAATTCTCAAAATAGCCTATAACAAATATTCTTTGAATAAAATAATTAAGTATGATAAATATCTTTCAATTATTCATCTAGTACTATATGAAAATTATATTTTTCACAATAACTCTTATTATCAGCAAATTAAAGGTCTTCCACAAGGAGGACCTGCGAGTAACTGTTTAGCCAATATTTATCTGCACTTTTATGAATATGATAACATTAGTATAGATTCTTGTTACTTTTTTAGATACATAGATGACTTAATCATCTTTAGTAATATAGTAAATTTTGTTCCTAGTTTTAAATATTATCCCCTATATCTGAAATTATTAAAAACCAATTATAATAATGACTCTGCAAACTTTTTAGACCTACAATTAATTGTTAAGAATAATATACTAATTAGTAATATTTTTGATAAAAGAGACTCTTTTGATTTTAACATTATTAAAATGCCTTTTTGGGAAAGTAACCTACATCTATCTATTTTTAGAAATATCATCTTAAATTTTATAAAAAGAAATAACGATTTAGTCACAGATAATGATGTTAAGCAAAATAATTTTAAGCTATTCCGCAATAATTGCTTGGAATACAACTATCCAAGTAACTTCATTTTTAAATATATGTCTAAATTATCTCTCTAATTCTCCTTTTCAAAGTTTAAGTATTATTCTTTGTTTTTTTCTCCTTCTGTTTTTTATTATTTTCAATTTGTTTTAGTTTGCTTTGTTTAATTACAAAAAAACTCTATCCAGGTGGCGCCACTAATTTTTGCATCTGGTTTTATCAACTTAACACGTCATTTTTAACGATCATTTAGCGTATTGTTCTCGTACGTACAGTGTTTTTCCCGCTCTCCGGTTATTTGCATGTTTTCATGTAAGTTTTTGCTTCATTATTCCTTTTCAAAATTATTTTTATTTGTATTTTGTTAGGATTCATTTCCTTTCATATTTTCTATTATTTTTATTTTATTTTTCTTTTGGTTGCAAATTACACGTGGTTGGTTTTAGGCCTAACTTTTCAATATTGGTATGTTTTCCTGTTATGTATAAAATTTCTGCTGAACAGGGGAAGGTAGGATCCATAAAATATAATTAACCCTAATTTTGCTGGTCCTAATTCAGCAACAGCTTTAGAAATCATAACAGGTCTTCATTTTAGTCTATTGACTCTTTTGGCTTCTTACATTTTAAAGTTCTAATTCTGTTCCATGTTATACATACGCTTAGTTAATTCTTCTATAATAGACTCTTCCATTATTTTTAAAGTGTGTTTCTTTAAATCTGGTTTGAATCTTCTAGCTTTGTTAGTGATATTATTTTGTATTATCAATTTTATTATGCCATGTATTTCTTTCATTTTATGTTACTATATATATATATATATATATATATATATTAGTAGGTATTGAAAAATAATATTTTAGACTGAATGTAAAAAACAAAACAGCTTGGTATTTGTGTGTTATACAGTTGAACAACTACGACAAGAAAAAAGATGTCGTCAAATACTGCCATCTTATACGCGAGCAAGATTAATATGTTTCTATAAGTATAGCAACATTTTTCCATTACTGGCTGCATATCACGGCAATTGGCAACGATTTTTAATTTGACGAGATGGTGGACATTATAATTCGTCCTCTCTAATATTGTTCCATTAATTATTTAAAAATTAATTCTGCGTTCTAAGAT